ACGAGCTGCGCAAAAAATCGCGCGAATATGAACGTGGTTTAGCGCAGCTCGTCAGTGAACAACGGCTCTGTGTAGTTAATGCTGCTCAATGTGAAAGCACGCAGGTGATGGAGATTTACCGCTGATTACAGAACCGGCTTTACTGATAAGATGCGCGTTAAATATCGCATGCGATTAATCGTGCAGCCCTACTTTAAATGTAATTTCAAATAATGCACTACAGCTAAAATGATCAAGTATGTTTCATGCGCTTTAGTTTGTTAGTCACATCAAGTGTATTGAAAACAATGATTGAAAATAAATAATAATGTGACATTAGTACAAAGTGCATTATTTAAAATTTTACTTAAATGTTTACAGTCATATAAGTGTACTCTCTCTGTGACTCTGTAAAGACTTGGTGCCATTGTCAGCCTAATCACATTAATAGCAATACATATAAACAAAGTAATATTTTCCAGTACTTATATGGTCAGTTTTGTCACTAATACTATTCTTCAAGTGTTAACACATCAAACTTTTTTGGTTCTGTTTTTGTCCCATTCTGTGTAAATCAGTGTAAAAACGTGAGATATTTCTCAGTTTTTTTCTGTGTTGCATGATAACATATACATGTTATATAATAATATCAACCATGTTATGTTTGTATTGTTGTAGTATAATGATCATCTCTGGTGCCATCTTCTCAGTTTAAGAAATCCATAGTCAAACGTAATAGATTTGCCTTTTCTGTTCTGACTGTGTGAAATCTCAGACTGCTCCCTGATTCTCTTTACTGTCTGTAAAGGTTGGCGATGGACACATTTGATGGCGGTGCCAGTGAAAACACCAATGAAGCCAAGACTGTTGGTGCGCAGAGCCTGTATGCGACGCTCGGCTTGTCATCAAAAGATGTGGATGCACTTGCTCAGATTCCTGAAAGTGAAATTAGTGTAGAAACCCTCCCTCATCTAATCATGCAGCTCAAATCGAAGAGAGCCCATAATGAGTCAGCTACCGCAGACACCGACTTCAGAGACAAGTCCAGAATTTCACAGGACAAGCTGAATACACCCGAAAGATGCACCAGTGACAGATGCAGAAGCCCCTTGACTTCCAGCTCAGCGCAGCGCTCTGGGAGCCATCATGGGAGAGGGGAGGGGCATAGGAAGGTTGAGAAGTACAACCTAATCCCAGGAGGAAGAAAAGACCTGGGCTACAGGAAGTCATCCCGGGAAAGACAAAGCGGGCATCATGTGACTGAGGATACGGAGTCTGGTGACATCCCAATGGTTTTCCCACACAAATGCTCTCTTTGCAAGTGTGTGCTGAATTCCATGAAGGTAGCTAGCAAAAATAAAAAGATATGTGGTAAACTGTGTACCACCATAAAACAAACAATTAAAGTGAAACAACAAAAATACCTAGAAATGGTTAACATTTTGTAAAATCACAAATTATGGGTAAAGCTATCCATGCTGCTATTAGCGAGTAGTACTGCTTAACATTGGGAAGTGAGGGACAGGGATGATGTGAAGTGGAGTTTCATTTTGGTTCCCTCATAGATATATTGCATGCATATTGGAGATTTTAAGGCTTCAGATGTGACTCATTCAATCATAATTTTGAAATGTTTTTCTTTGGGTCCAAAGAAGTTCAAAATATTTCAAAAACAGACATTTAATTTACTAGAATATCCAAAGTTAGGCATTATCATTTAGATAAATATATTATACTCATACCATGATGTATGATTTTCTTTCTGGATGAAGGTGTTTATCATAATCTGTTGTATCACTATCCTGAATGCTTATGTTTTGTTTTCTTGACTGTCAGACATGGAAAGACCATCTTTCAGGTGTCCGCCACAAATTACATGAATCGGAACGAAGTACTCGCTCATTTCCACCCCCTAAAAGACCCTGCAACTCTGACTGTAAGAATAATAATTTCATTACTTCATTATTACATTCATTACTAACACCCCAGAAAAGGGTTTGGTGTCTTTTAGTTCATGCCTGTTAACTTTGAGATCATCTGCAAGCTAGCGTACTCCTAGAAGTGGAGGAAATTACAGCAAATATAAAAAAAATTTCCTCTTTTTCTTGAAATTGAACCACAATTTACCTTTATTCATTTTTTCATTTATTCAATTGCAGGCTCAGTTATCCAAAGTGACTTACAAATGAGAAATACAACAAGTGATTCAACCTAAAGAGGCAAATAACACAAGTGCTTGTAATACAAAGTTTTAAACATCGTTTAGAATAGTACAAGCTACAACAGGGAGGGATTAAGGGAAAGTGAAAGCATAGATAGATATTTATTTATTTATTAAGATGCAGTTAAGTGCTCACAGAAGAGATAAACCAAAAATATTGATCTTGTAAATGCCTCTGTATAGGTTCATTTTTGTCCATTTAAATGCTCTCATGATTGTGACATTAGCTAAAATCTATTGGCTATTTATAAAATGCCAATTCCTTAAGTATCATTTTCTCCAACTTCCTGTTTAAACAGGAAATACATCAACATATGAAAGAAAACTGGCTCATCATGCCATTTCATAGGGTTTTTAAGTTTTAAAATTTTAAATTTCACTTGTGCAAGTTATTTTATATAGTACTGCATACATTTTTATAACAACTAAATTGCACAAAATTCATACATTTAACAAATGTTTTTTTTAAGGGGATCAGTACATGTCCACCACATCAGACCACCTCTACCCTCCTAAGGTAATTTAAGTTGTGTGCTGCTGTCTTCTGTTCATTTCTGTTATTTTTGCACTCAAATTGCTTTTTTTCATGTGGTTATATTATCCTCAGCCCAATACAAGAGTGGTAGTTGCCAAATTTCCTATGGGTGCTGTGGCCGTGGGGGAGCTTTTAGAGCTTGGCAAACCATTCGGCACAATTGTGAAACACCTGGTGTTCCCAGCAAAGGTAATTACACACCAGAAAGACATTATACATTTATTCTCAGTGGTGAACCATTTTGTAATTTCATGACAACTTGCAACTTTGTTTTGCTCATCATTGCTTGATTTTTGTATTGTGATTGAGCAGTAAACATGTTTAACAGTGTCTTGTAGCATTATAACACTTTACTAATGACTTCTGTAACAGAATTTTATTACAGTGATATTTAAAGGGTTAGTTCATCAAAATGTACAAATCTTGTACTTGCACTCACATTGTTCTAAACCTGCATGCCCGACTTTATTCTGTGGAATGTGAAAGGTGAAGTTTAGCAGATAGCACCGAATTAAACTTGAATTGAGTGAAATTAAAGGAATAGTTAACTCAAAATGATAAATTGCTGAAAATTCTCACCCTGAGGCCTTTTTGAGGCCCTGATGACTTTCAACCATCCCTTATGGCCAAAATATGAGTCCATAATTCATAATAACACAACTTCATCTTCAGAACTCAAATTAAGATATTTTTGGTGAATTCCGAGAGCTCTCTGACCCTCCCATAGACAGCAAGGGTACTACCACGATCAAGGCCCAGAAACATAGTAAGGACATCGTTAGAATAGTCCATGTGACATCAGGGGTTCAACCGTAATTTTTCGAAGCTACGAGAATACTTTTTGTGTGCAAAAGAAAACAAAAACAACGACTTTATTCACCGATTTGTTTCCTCCGCGTCTAGTACCCTTGCTCTCTATGGAGGGTCAGAAAGCTCTCAAAATTCATCAAAAATATCTTAATTTGTGTTCCGAAGATGAATGAAGGTCTTACGGGTTTGGAACGACATGAGGGTGAGTAATTAATGACAGAATTTTCATTTTTGGGTGAACTATCCCTTTAATTGATGGACTGGAGTCGTGTGGAATATCTGTGGATTATTGTGATGTTTATATCAGCTGTTTGGACTCTCATTCTGATGGCATGGCACCCATTCACCCATTCACATTCCAGTCACACTCATATGCACCTAGTATATGTGAAACAGGTTTTAAAAACCCTCTCATTGTTTTTTTGAATCTTTATTTATTTATTTTTATGGGTGTTGCTGGGTAACAGGGATTTTTGGAGTTTAATTCTCACAAGGAGGCTCAGAATATGGTCAGTCACTTCCAGTTGAAACCAGCCTTCATAAAGGAGAACCCAGTAATCCTCTACTTATCACCAACAGTGGAAGGCATTTTTGTGAGTAGGAACCCCACAAATCACACCCTCTATACTTTGTTTAACAATCTATCCATTTATCATGGATTTCCTTGACAGTTAAATTTTTTTTGCATATATTTGATTGACAGACACCACTCAAGTTTGATGTGCCTTCACCAAAACGAACAAAACGTTCAAATGCGCCTTCGGTGGTTTGTTTTTCACGTTTGCCTCCCGGGGAGGACGTGGAGGCTGAAGTGCTGGAGCTTGCAGGCATGTTTGGTGAGGTGTGGCAGTCAAAGTTCACTGACAGTAAGGTGAGGATTACCATCTTGAAGAACTTGTGATGTCAACTTTTAGTGAAACTCAAGATACAATGTGGGATCTTTTAATGTACAAACTAGGGCGGTGGAAAATGTACACTAACAGGGTTTCCGCGGAGTCTTAAAAAGTCTTAAATTTAGTTATCAAATATAAGGCCTTAAAAAGTCTTAAGTTGTACAAGGAAGTCTTAATTATGATTTCAAGAGGTCTTAAAGGGGTCATATGATGCTGCTAAAAAGAACATTATTTTGTGTATTTGGTATAATGAAATGTTTATATGGTTTAAGGTTCAAAAAACACATTATTTTCCACATACTGTACATTATTGTTTTTCCTCTATGCCCCGCCTTCTGAAACGCGTCGATTTTTACAAAGCTCATCGGTCTGAAAAGTGAGGTGTGCTCTGATTGGCCAGCTATCCAGTGCATTGTGATTGGCCGAATACCTCAAGCGTGTGATGGAAATGTTACTCCCCTTACCATATTGTGATGCCCTGTCCGGCCGGAGCGACGAGACAAAAACATTAAAACCCATTATAAACGAGGCTTTTGTTGCATCCAGTGGGGACATAATTACGGATTATAATGACTTTTTACGCGTTGTATCGTGCCGCGTAAACATAAAACCATGTCTGTATTTGTGATCGGAGAAATGACAAACAACAAGCGCTACTCTACACTGCTCAAAACTTGCGTTTGACTCGTCAGTGGCAGATCCTTTAAATATGAAAACTAACTTACAGTCTGTGAGTCAGAACAGCCGGCATTGTAGTCTACTCTCCCAGGATCAGGAAACAGTCCTCCATAAAATGTGCTGCACACATCTGAATATTTGGGTTGAACTGTTTTGGAACAGTGTTGTAAATACAACTTAACCAGTGATTTCTAGTCGTGTCCTCTTTTGGAAGGCCAAACAAAGTAGTTTCGCTTTCACAACGAAACACACGGCGGCTTGAGTGAGCGGCGGCGGGCGGGCTAGAGTGAGCGGAGGCTGGCAGCTTGAGTGAGCGGAGGTCGGCGGGCTTGCGGCAACCACATGAGACGACCCCGGGCTGGACTCTTAACTTTTATAAAGAATATCTCTTTGGATTTAAGACTTTAGTCTTTGCAACTTTACAGATCTTCTTTATGCACCAAGAGCTTGTAACACTTCAAAGAGAAGGGAAATCGATGAAATCGCATCATATGACCCCTTTAATAATCCCAGATCATATGCAATGTTGTACTGCATAATTAGGCTACATGCTGTACTGAAATATATTTTGTATTAGGTCTATTACTATCGGCAGTGTGGTATAGTCTACACCGAGATTGATATCGCTTATCCTGCCCGAAAAGACCATAAACATTACAGTTCATGTCTGCAATAATAATTAACAGACATGAATCCTAAAAACTAATAATGTCTGAGCAAATCATGACTTTTCACTTTTCACCTACCTCTGTCTAGGCGTAAGATTTAGTCTCAGACATAGAACTACGCCGAGATGGTGCAACAGGTATAAATTCTACGCACAAATTAAAGAGCATTTTACGTCCAGCCTAGTCTTACAACTGGGTGTATGTCCAACTGTTGCAACCAGCCCCAGGCATTTAACATCCTCCTCTCCCACACAGTCTATGTCGATATGTTCTTTATGCCAGTAAGTGCTGAGAACGTAAAGGTACGTTGTCACGAAGGGCATCAAGGTCTTTACAGCGCGATTTGCAGTAAGGGAAAACATCTTTGCGAGGCAGCTGCCACAAAACCTGCCATCCGGGAGGCAGCTCCCAATTCGAGATGCAAATAGGTCTCCTTCTATTTGTTTTTTTTACCTGTCTTGCACCTTACACAATATATAGGCTAACCATTTTTTACCAGCGGGAGCCACAACGGTACGCATTAACGACACGCTTTTCACCTGCCTAAAGATCTCATGATGGAATGTGAGTCCCGTGGTACGTAATCATGCGGATTGATACATGTTAGCAAACAGTGCAGTTCTACAATTATTTACCTATTTGCCACCTTACCTTACCTTATATTTTATTCCTTTCTTTTAATCCATAATGGAGCGCACGTCCCGTAGCACCTAAGCGTCATGCTTACCACAACATCTCTCACTGTTTTCACTCCGAATGAAGCATGTGAGCAAAGAGAGGTGCACTTTTTGACCGCAAAATATGGCACTACCATTTTTTTTTTGTACACTAGAGGGGGCACGCACCTGTGAGAAACACATGCTTAGTTTAAGGTTATTTAAGAGTGTGATATAATTAAATTAACGGTACATTTCAGTACTTTGTTTATGGATCCCCTCTGTCATGTATGCGTACCCCAGTTTGATAACCACTGCTCTAGATAATCAGTTGGATTGAGATCTGGAGAATTTGGAGGCCAAAGCAACACTGTGAGCTTTTTGGTATGTTCCTTATACCATTCCTGAACAATTTTTGCAGAGTGAGACAGTGCATTACACTACTGATAGTGGCCACTGCTATCAGGAAACACCATTGCCATGAAGGGATGTTCATGGTCTGCAGTAATCTTTAGGTAGGTGGTACATGTCGAAGTAGCATGCACATGAATGTCAGGACCCAAGGATTCCCAGCAGAACATTGTGCAGAGCAAAACACTGCCTCCGCCAGCCTGCCTTCTTCCCATAGTGCATCCTGCTGCCATCTCATCTCCAGGTAAACAACACTCGTGTATCCGGCCATCCATCTGATCTAAAAGAAAATGTGATTCATCAGACCAGACAACATTCTTCCATTGCTCCATGGTCCAGTCCTGACGCTCACGTAGATGCTTTGGTGGTGGACAGAGCTCTGACCGGTCTGCAGCTACGCAGCCCCATAAACAGTAAACTGTGATCCACTGTATTCTGACAGTTTTCTGTCACAGCCACCATTGAGTTTTTCAGCAGTTTAAGCTACGGTAGCTCCTCTATCTTTCCTTGCACCACTTTTGGCAGACACTAATCACTGCGTACCGGGAACAGCCCATGTGCTTTGCTGTCTAACTATCATTATTTAGCCCTTGTCAAAGTCACTCAGACCTTTTCGCTTGCCCATTTTTCTACACGTGAAATTCAAGAACTGACTGTTCACTTGCTGCCTAAAACAGTATATCATGCAGTATATCATGTCCTGTAACAGGTGCCCCTGTAACAATATAATCGATCTTGTTAACTTCTCCTGCGAGTGGTTTAAATGTTCTGGCTGATCAGTGCATATATATTGATACTTCACTGAGATTATACTGTTAAATTCAATCAGTTTATTAAATAAACGTTTTCAATTAATTGTATGCATTAATTTTGACAGCCTTTGTAGAAATACATTTTGTTTGTTTGTTTGTTTGTTTTCCCAGTAAAACTCTTGTATGTCTATATGTGTAGGCCTTGATTGAGATGGTTGACTGGCGTGATGCTGACATCATGGTGAAGTATTACTACAGTAACCCACTGAGGATTCAGGGCAAAAGTGTTAAAGTGTCCATGTCGCACATCACAACCCTGAGGTAAGAGACTTCTGATATCTCAAGCCCTAAAGAGGTACATAGACCAGTGTGTTGATTGAGGGTAGGCTTGTGACGGTATCAAATTTTCATGTTGCGATAATTGCTAAAGCTTTTACAGTATTATCACGGTATTGAAATTTAGTTGCAAAAAAAGTGTTGTCATAATACAGTATAACAGGTTTAATAACTTTTTTCTTATAACAAAAAGAACTGAACGTTTAAATACAATAAAGCAATACACAAAAAATTAATTAAATATTAAATAATACAGTTACAATATTTGATTTTAACAACGTGCTAATCTAAGATTAATAAATGCTTAGAATAATTTTTCATTGGCAGTTTATACAAAGCTGCTTTGTTTACAGGTTTACTGAGGTTCCCACCGCTTAATCGACGTGTGACAATACCGGTAATACCGTTAACCCGGAAGGGAGGGGGTGGGGGGTGTTCAGTTTTCCATCTTTTCCTTGTTTCCTTCCGTTTTAAATAGCTTGTAAAAGTGCCGTGCACATTTTACTTTCACTTTCAAATTAGCGGCAATTCGGCGTCAAGCAGTTGTTTGTTTTTAGTTTGTTTGAGTTTTCCCTCTTTTCCTCACTTTCCTTCACTTTTACATGAAGTGAAAAGTGAAGGAAAGTGCCCCATGCACTTAAAAGCCCCATGCGCATTTTACTTTGTTTCAAATTAGCGTCAATTCGGCATCAATTGCTTGAATTCAATTCAAGCAACAACAAAATACAACATAGAACATAGAACTTTTATTAACAAAACGAATAAAAATACACGATGCCTAATATATAATAACAGATAACTTACACAAAGTTTAGGTATACAAAACTGAAGATCAGTAAACACTGTGGAACCAAATAAATAAGAAACGAATGTTTAAAAAACTTCCAATATCACCTTAGATAAATGGCAGAAGTCAACAGGCTTTTCAAAATCCAAAATATTTTTAAAACAGGCGCATGTACATGTCGTTTTAAAAAACACTTCTGCCATCGTCTTGTCTGTCTCGCCTCACTCTTCTTATCAGTCAGCTCGTGATAAATGAAATCTGATCTGTGATGCGACTATCATTCGGCACGCTGCATTGAGCAGCCGCGTTCAGTTTTAATTGTAGTGTCTGTTCTCTAACTGAACTAAATGATTTTTATTACTATAAAAAATCAAAATGATGGTGGGGTGGTGCAAGTGACAACTGGTGTTGAGGCTTCTCACTGGTAAAACCGTCAACACTGTCTATCGCAGCAAGCCTACTACATACATTGGTGTTGTGCATTTTACCCGATTGATGGGAAAAGTATTATTTTAATGCATTCAAAAAAATCTGAATAATTTCTAATAAATAATTATTCACTGTATTTTGAAGTGCCCATGATAACAATATCATGCATGTTCATTATCGTGATATATATCGCATTACTGAATGCGATATATCACGCGTCTCTGAATATATCGCACATGTCTAGTTGTGGGGCAAAAAGTCTGGAAGTGTAATGGTGCTACATTTAAAGTACTGCTTTAGTTTAGACAGTCAGTTCAGATTCTGCTGTAAAGCAGCTCAAGACAACAGTGTCATCATTTAGCTCAAGTCAGTTCAGCGTTGGTTCAGTAATTGATGTAATTTGTGTGGTCATTATAAAATGTTTGTTATACTGCAGTTATTCGTGATTACTGTGTGAGTCAATCCACTGGTCAAAAAAGTCTATGAGAATTCAGAAAAATTATGAAAAAAAACTGTCAAAAGCCTCCAAAACTGTACAAAGAATGATTAATTGTTAAACGATCTCGATTCAAACACCCACGCAATCTCATTTCTAAATGACAACGATTGAAAACAAGATTTTAATTTAGTTTTAATTTATTCATTCATGATTCATATAATTTATAAGTGCTGTATGTTTGGGAAAATTAGGAAATAAAGTGAATCATGCCTCCATTAGCTGAATACGGAGATGTTTTGATTAATCACAGATACTGTCCGTAGAGCTTAACATGAATTGAACTTTTTAAAGATTATTTTAAATGCTTCCTTAACTGAAAACCTTTTTTTTTTTTTTTTTTTAGAGAAAATAGTCCAGAGTCTGTGACCAGAAAATCTGACTCAAGCAAGTACAGCAGACAAAGAGAAGAGTCTATATCTAGCAACAAGGACAAAAGTGACAGCTCAAACCAGGAAGCCACAGAGAAAGAAGACGAGTTGATGGAAAGTGAAGACAAGGTTCTCGATGATGAGGAGGGAATTCAGTTGGAGGATGAACCTGGGCTGCTTAATGAGGGGTCAGAAGACATTGTGGTTAAAACTGAGGAGAAAGAAAAAAAGGAAGAGGAGGAAAAGATGGAAGAGGAGAAACCTACCACTGCTGAGGAGGAGAATAGAGAGAGAGGTTCAGAGCAGAATCAAGAGGAAGAGGTGAGTTGATAGAAGGTGGAGTGTGTCATTTTTAAAATGCTTTTTATCTGAGTGTATAAATGCAGCCTTGGTGAACAGAAGAGAATTCTTTAAAAAACTTTAAAAAAAAATCTTACTGACCTCAAACTTGAGCAACATAATAAAATGCTTGTTTGCTCTCTTAAAGTTGCACAAACCCAGGTTACTATTAGCAACTCAAATTAGATCCTTAGTAGGGCTGAACGATTAATTGCATTTGCGATAATATCGCGATATGAGAAAACGCAATTTTTCAATCGCAGAGGCTGCGATTACACTCGGTCACGTGACACGCGAGAGTAAAGAGGTGTGTTCGACTTGAAGATCGATCGGTGTAGACGTCAAAGTACGGCGAGAGAAAGCATAAGGAGACGTCCGTGCTCTTATAGCTCTCGCAGTACTTTGATGACACACACCCATCGGTCTAAGCAGCGCTGCTTCAAGTCGAGCGCGGGCCATCAGCAGAAAAATAAAATAAATAAAACAGTAAACAGCCAAAGGACGTAACTTAGAATGGGAGATGGATTGGTTTGTGAAAGCGAAGAGAAAAGCCATAGATGAAGTCGCACAGACCCAGGCAGGTGCTGGTCATTTAAAAGCTAAATGCATAAAATATGACGAGGCATATCTTGCTCTCGTCTTCACTCACCGTGTCTATACCGGACGCTACAGTTGTCGCGCCGCGCCGCAACAGCACTACACTGGACGCGACAAAGCAACCGTTGCAAATAATTTGAACTTTGTGTCAGTATGTCATAAATAGAACGAGGCATCAGTTTAATATCGGGTTTTGTCGTGTCACACTGATTATAATGGTTCGGGAAAGGGGGGCAGATTTTTTTTATAGGTTTAAAGGGGGGTGTGACCACAAAAGTTTGAGAACCACTGGTCTACAGTTACCAGACAGTGTGTTTGATGATCTGAATCTTTTAAGTGTGACAAATATGCAAAAAAAATAATAAACAGGAAGGGGGCAAAAACCTTTTCACTGCACTGTATATTATGCATATATATTTCTTCATGCACCTGTTTAATAATTGCTTAATAAAAAATGAAGCACACACACACAAACAAAACGTCCTCCCCGAACTTCCCGCTGCCCTGTATCTTGCTCTCTTATTGGCTGTAGGTCATCGCCGATGTATTTTTCAGTCAGAACTAATTTCACACAGCAGGATTTTGACGCATCGGCGATTCTCTCAGATCCCGTCTTTGATAATTCACACTGCGTGATTGTCACTCGCGTGAACAAGCACCAATTTGCGTCCGATTTGGGGCAATGAAACTTTTTTCAAAAAAACATTACAAAATACTGTGTTGATAAATGTTTTAAGTGCATTTCACCATATTTTCTAGTGTTATGGTATATGACTTTTTAAAAAAAAATATGCAGAAACAACATGAACATGTTGATGCCGTTTGACTAACAGCGATGTGTGTGCTTTATGTCTTATTTCTCTATAGGGTGATTTGGATGATGCAGAATTTCCAGAGAACATAGAAGATTTTGTTACATTAGATGAGCTGGACAACAATGCAGGAGGTGATTCATTTTGATTTGATTTGCATTTAGAGAATAGTGAATTTTCATTTCATGCCGAATTTAAATTCAAATCATATTCATTTCTCCCACAATGCACTTTAAGTCTATGACAGTTAACACTTTTTCCATTTTTTCCAGATTCTACTGTGCCAAAGGTAAGCATCACATCGCTCATTTACATTAAATGTTGGATGTCTTAGGAAATAAACATATATATTTCCTGTTCAACAGTATGATCAATAGCAATGTGCATTTTTCATTGCACAATCACAGGATAGTAAAGTAGTGGTGGTGTGGCCTGTAAAGAAGACGCCTGACTTGATGAAGGATCTTTACAGTTTGTCTGCACCCTTTGGCAGTATGGTGAAGCATTCTTTATCCACATTCAAACAAGAGGTCAGTGTTTGGTGTTTACAGTTAGGTAAAAATTAGTGATGCATGAAATATCAGCAACCAAAATTTTTGTTGGGGGGCTTGTTTTATAATATATAAAAAGGAGTCTGGGCTGCATTTATTTGATCAAAAATTCAGTATAAAAGGTAATATTTTGTATTATTACAATTTCAGTTAACTAATTTATATTTGAATGCATTTTAAAATGGTAATTTATTCCTGTGATGCAAAGCTGATTTTTAGCTGCCAATACTCCAGTCTTCAGTATCACATGATCCTTCAGAAATCATTTAAAAAATGCAGCCTTGGTGAGACTTCTTTCAAAAATATTTTCGAAAAAAAAATAAAAAATCTTGATGACTGGTTTATACTGGTTTTACTTATTGAAAAATTTTTTAACAGCCATGATTCCACAACAAATTGAAGTAGAAACATAATTCTATTATTAAAAAGTTGATATAAAAAACACCTTGTGTGTAGTTTAAATTAGTTTTTTTATTAGAATGTTGATTATTGAATAAATTTAATTGATCAATCGATTATTACCTAAATTATTAACTGATTGATGAAAACTTCGATTTCAGTTTTGGTAAAAAATAATGATTGCATTAGTTAATGCATTATGAGCTAAAAAAAGAAAAAGAAATGAGCTACAAAAAAAGAAAGTGAGCCTGAGCTTTTTGCAGTCAATGCACATAACACACTGTAATTGCTATCAATTAATCATGCAATAACTGTAACAGCCAAAACCAAAACAGCAGTGGTTGGATCTCTTGATAGTTATTGTCTTCTATCCAGATGTTTTTAACCATGCTACCACATAATATGCTTTCAGTTTTACTAATCACAGTTCTCATACAATTTTCAGGTTTTGCCTGTAGCTGTTATGTTTGTTTGTGTTCTTTTAGGCTATGATCGAACTGGAAACAGCTGAAAACGCCCAGGAAATGGTGCAGTTCTACAGCAATCACAAGGCAACGATATGTGGCAGGCCGGTGTTTGTTTCCATGTGCCTTACCATGAAAACAATAGAGGTATGTGTTTGTGCTTTGGGGTTTAAATTGCACTAACTTCTCACAATATTATGGTTTTTACTATATATTTACTATAATTTTTGTTTGCCAGGGTAGTCATAATGTCACAGCTTCCCTTAACAACTTGGTTCACTAAAATAAAAGAGAAAAAACATTTTGTTGTGTACTTTCCCTCATGTGCTCTCAAATGTGTGAGCTGTTTTCTCCAAAGAACACAGAAGGAATTATTTAGAAGAATGTTAAGACTGCTACACGTCCATGAGCAACATTCTGAATAGAATAAATGGAGGATAAAATAAATATATAAATACAAATATAAAACTGTCAATATATAGATAGAATATTGGGTGGAAGGGGAAAAAACATCAATCAATACATATGTTTTGAAATGACTTGCCATATAACATGTAATGGCCAAAATAATTTAAAGATAAGGATATCTTGTGAACACTTGAGAATATTGTTATTCCAAATGTAAATGATTACCAAATTAAACTAAAATGATTGTGGTGGTTTCAATCCTTCACACCATGTTTAGAGCCCTAGTGGGAGGTCTGTTTTCATCAGCTGTCTTCCCAACCAGAGGTACCTACGACAGAAATACACAGACAAATCCCTCTTCAAACTGACTAAACCTTTTGGAAAACTGACTGGCTACTCTCTGAACAGGTATCAAGGAACGGTATGTATACACGCATTTCCCCTCATCACTATCTGCACTGCAAAAAAAGGCTTATCTTAGTATTTTTGTCTTGTTTCTAGTCAAAATATCTAAAAATTCCTAAATTAATATGCAAATGTAAAATATTGTAAGTAAAATATTCTTAAAACAAGATTAATTTACTTACCCCACTGGCAGATAATTTTACTTATTTTAAGCAAAATGCACTTCATTTATTTTTTTTCCCCCCTGGAAACAAGACTAAATATCTTACGTCATTTTGCTCATCTAGTAAATGCATCTTAATTTAGGAATTTTTCGATATTTTTACTCGAAACAGGACAAAAATACTAAGTAAGAAAGGCCCTTTTTTGCAGTGTGTGATGAGCAGCAGAGCAAAATTTGTGAATATTCACTTTTTCTTGAGTGCCATCATAACCCTTTCATGCTATTTGTTTTTCCTGTGCCTCGTCTTGTTACTTTCTCAGTGTTACATGCAACTGGAAAGTACAAAGGCAGCTGAAAAAATGGTTGCACAGTACAGTCGGAGGCTTTGCAAATTTTGGGGGTCGGTGCTGAAGATAGCTATGTGCAGGAAAGGGGATTCTCTGATTCGCTGGTAGGTGTTCTCATTAAAACCGTCACTAACTAGAGTGGATACACAAATGATAAAATACATTTCCATTGTTGTCTCTGAGGCAATAGTCAGAATGTACAGTTGGCCCCAGACAGCATTTAAGCACACTTTAAAATGTCATTGAAGGAGAAATCTGCAAACAATTCCTGCTGGAGCATTTTTCAGATCTAACTTCACTTTTCTGTAGTACAGGTCATTAAAGGAATAGTTCACCCAAATATGAAATTGATGAAACTTTACTCACCCTCAGGCCATCCAAGATGTAAATGAGTTTTGTTTCTTCATCTAAACAGATTTGGAGAAATTAAGCATTTCATCACTTGCTCACCAATGGGTCCTCTGTAGTGAATGGTTGCCATCAGAATGAGTGTCCAAACAATTAGATAAAAACAGAACAAAAAGCCAGAAGTAATCACACAACTCCAGTCCATCAGTTAAATGCTTCTAGTAAAAAAAGTCCATCCCCTGATGTCCTCTCACATCAAAATCCACAGACGTATTTGCTTAATATATGCATATTTCCCTCCCGATTCAGACGAGACAACTTTTTCACTGGCGGAAGAAATATTATTTTTAGAGGACTTGTTTTTGTCAGAAGCAACCATTGAAAGTTAATAACATCTTAATGATGAATTTGTTTCTGAAAAAACATGCAGCTTTTCGCCTCACAAGACATTAATTGATGGACTGGAGTCGTGTGGATTACTTGTGGGTTATTGTGATGTTTTTATCAGCTGTTTAGACTCTCATTCTGACGGCACTTTGAAATAGTTGACTACCTTGACGACTGACTACCTTGAAATAGTTTTAACAAAATGACTTCAGCCAAATGCAGACACAGACTTTCATATAAAATTGGAAACTAGGAAAACCATCCTAGTGCAGAGAACATTTATGTTGTGCTGCTTTTGCATGAGTGTGCATGTAATGTAACAACCATTGGGAAAGTAACAAAGAAATTATTATTTTCTGTTTGTAGTGACATCTTCAGTTTATGCTCTTTTATTATAGGAGATACCCTGAAAATGCAGAGGAAAGAGAGTTAAAAAAGGAAACAAAAGAAATAAAACCAAGCACCGAAAGGACAGAAAATGACCAGTTAATCAAGACTGGAGCAAAGGAGGTGAACATTAACATCTTGGACACATTTGACTAAATCTGTTCTTGTGCTTTAAATAGAAACATTTTGATCTAAAGAGTCATGCTTAAATGCAGAACTTAAACTTTTTTAAATGGGTGAGTTAAAGGAAAGGTAGCCAAGTGTCAGGTATATTTGATATCTCTGTCTGTAAAAATCATAAGAGAAAATGTGTGTGCAGAACCAGCACAGTTCTTTACCGGATTGTGAAGGTGTTGGTGGGGATCCAGTTTGTGAAACTAAAGGTTCGGAAGAGAATAGTCAGCTGGACAAAACCCCTCTGAACCCTTATCAACCAGACCAAATTGTGGGTAAGTCCATCACACACTTGCTTGTATTAGGAACTCCGTTTGGGGGAACTAAATTAGCTCCTACTTCAGAGTTGTCACAATCCACTAGAGAGAAACGAGGAGATGCTGGAGAATACTTTAGCAAGACTTTTAAATTCCATGAACCAAGGGAGACGAACTCAGGATGATATTTAACAGCGGACAGAGAACTAGGGACTGGGAACACTTTAAATACACAGAACAGGATGATGGGATGACAAGACACACCTGGGATCAATGGAAACCACATAGGAAACACCTGGGACAAATTAACTGAATACGTGAAGGACAGAAACTGGGTCACAGACCCCCCCCCCCCCAAAAAAATACTTGGGGAAATTTACGGGGCTGTACTTTGGGCCAGGAGCCCTCCCTGGGTGTAACGGGGGATCAGGAGCCCTCCCTCGGCTTAACGGGG